AAGTGAAGTATCGTCTCATTATTGGGGGAAGGATTTATTGTATGCTGTTCCAGTTTGACTGCTAGGAGAGTAAACCTATTCGTATGGTTCCTATTCAACTGTCTACAGCATTCATATGCTTGGGAGAATTTATTTGTTTCTCCGTTTCGGTGATTGTGGTGTCTGCCAGAGTGCTTGGAGTCCTCAGGAAGCGCTAGGAGTATCCTTCAACGGAGGTACCCAGTCGGGGTGCCAGGCGATCCGTTACAATGGAGTTAAAGGGCTCTATGCAGCGCTGACTCCCAATACTGCACAGAGCTCATTAGTCAGTCTTGGCTCCAGCCTACTAACAGGAATTCCAAGTATCCACACATATATATATATATATATATATATATATATATATATATATATGGGGTTAGTGGTATGAGCAGGGATCTAACACTTCTCGCACTGTGTGATCTTTTAATAGGCATTTAAATGCCTATTTAAAGAGCAGCTTCCAGCACTGGCTTCAAGCGCTGCAAGTAGTTCATCTAAAAGTCTGGAGCCACTAAAAATGGCCCAAACAAACAGAGGGAAGACCCAAGTAATCTTTGATTATTGAATTTTGCCTGGGTTTTTTCCTCCATGAGTTTCAACCTCCGTTCATGTTATCTCCAAGTGACCTATCCAGTACTTCTGCTCACTAGTGGCTTCTGACCTCTAGTCAGATATCCTGACTACGCTTAGGGATCATCCTTTCCTTCTACCTTGCTGGCTTCTGACCTTTGCTCTGATATCCTGAATCCAGTTTAAGATCATCACTCTGAGTTGTAACTTCTACTCAAACTAATCCCTTGTTATTGAACCTGCTCCCAGTAACCAGATTTTGCCCTTACCAAACTCTTTTTGTTGTGTCCTCTGATATTCCAGACCTTCAAATTAAATTCATGGTAAACTTCAACACTCAATTTATTACCAGGACTCATGATGTAATAATCAAGCCACAACTGTGTGTGACAAACTCCCCTTCCCACGCGAGTTTGCCACAAGATCCTGAAGGAGCCTATTTGCCAGTCTCCTGTCCACAGACTATGGGTCCTGCAGGGAAACCTGTAAAAGACTACCAAACTTGACCGACCGTTAGCACTGATTTCATGGAACTGTTTTGGGCATAGGACCATGTGGAAGGTCAGTCAAAATTATGACTACCATGAAAATTCCGAACCTCTGAATCGATCTGGATGATTTTTGGATATGTTGGTCACCCAGATCGGGGCTATCAGGGGATGTAACTTTTGTGGGGTTTTTCTGTCTTTTAAAGGTATTTTGGGTTTTTTGTATTATTGCATGTTTTTCTGTGCCTGGAGATAATTGGGTTAGTTCAGTTCCTGACTGAATTATCTCTCAGGCACAGGGGAGGAGTTTGTAACTTGTAACTAGTCCCTTCTCAGGTCCAATGGAGGGATTATCCTGTTTGTGTGGGAGTGTCAGGGGCGTGCTTAACTGTGTCTGAAATTGTATAAAAGCAGGCCATTTGGCAAGATTAAATCATTCCAGCTATGTGTCATGTGATTACTGGGAGGGTAAAGGGCTAATCACAAATCACTGTTCCAGTGTGAAGGATTCAAGTGGAAAGTCCTTGTATGGACTTGAGCTCCCAGGACTGAGTGTCGTCCAGTGCCTGGAGGTGGTTAGAGAGAGTTCCCCATTTGGCTCCAGGAGAGAGCAGTTTCAGGACCCCGGTCAAGCCACGGCGACTGTGGGCAGAAGTGCTGAGGTTTGTCCCCTGTTTTACCTATGAAGCGGTCCTTGGCGGAGGAACCCAGCCAGGGGTACAGGGAGCTCCGTTACATTGTGCATTATGGAAATATGGAAATTATGGAAATGTCATCAAACTTTTGTTCCTGTAACATTTTGTCATTGTCTCATATATTGTTAAATTGCCCCTTTATAATATTGTCCAAGAGCTGCGGAATATGTTGGCGCTGTCTAAATGATAATAATTATAAGCTCAAAAATCCAGTCAATGGAAAACATTACGCCCACAATGCATAATTTAGCACATTGGACCTTAAAGCAATTGGGTCTCTAAAACCAAATCCAGTCACTGCAAATCCCCATGCCATCAATTGTTAATTACTCAGAACCTTCCACAGGGGAGGCGTTGAACTATTCATTCATGTATGCAAATACATATGGGGACATAAACACACACAGACTCACACACACACAAACAGACTCATATACACACATTGCAGAAACAATACAGAGCACACAAGGGTGCTGGGAAATCAGTGCAGAGTGCCATGCATCACCGGTAAATTAAAGAAGAAAATCTTTAAAATTGTAACAAGGTAAATAGAAGAAGAAATTGTTACAATTTCCTTCTTGCATTCAAAGGTATAAATCAAATCTTTAGTAAGACTTTTTATTGAACTCAAATTTCAATTTCATTGGAGTTATTAGAAGCTAAGGAAATCATTAACCCCTTCACTACTGAGAAGTTTTGGATTGAAAATATTTTAGCATTACATGTATTTGTACCAAGGGTTGCATAACTAGCATCTCAAAATATCATAACACAGCATTTTTGAGTATATATTGCCTGCAGAAAAATTTAAATACTATGTACATATTTTATATTTGGGGGACAAAATACTTTACACATTCTGCAGTGTTCTCACTTTATTATATATTTTACACAAGGTCAAAAACGTTAGTATGAAAACAAAACTGCAATTTTTCTCACATACAGTAGATGTACCAAAAATATATAAATAAATGGTCAAATACCTTGTTTAGAGATATTTATAAGGACCCAGTGAAGGCTTTAAGTAGTAAAGTTTAATAAAAATGACAACTGAATGCAAAAAAAAAAAAATCAGAATTTGAGCATAATGCCACATACAGTAAATAAAGTTAAATAATATGTATCCAAAATAAAGGTATTTAAAACCACTGTAGTGATCTTTATCAATCGCTGGACTTCTAATGCAATGCTGAGAGTGAAATAAAGTCAATTCACTCCTCTCTAACTGTGGGACTGATGTGACCCATTGAAACGTCCTTTACTTTTTGAAAATTAGAAGACTTAGTTCATCCATAGGCTGGTCATCATTATACAAGGGTTAGTGAGGCTTTATGGACTAGATTTTATTGTGCAAAATCCATGAAAACAAAAAGCATCTATTTGATTTAAGTAGTGATGTGGTTAACAGCAATGTACTTTTTGATGGTACAGCTACCAGTCAGGCCTTACCTGCATCAAAACAGTTAGTCTTCCAGATTTTGTACAAGAACATGTTGAGGAAATACATTTTCATATTATGTTATGCCTGCCCTTTCAAATAGTGCTAGGGTTATCATGTTTACATAAGCCTAACCCTATAATTGATTGAAAAAAACATGTTCTGTCATGTACATCAAGAAATTGTTTTTCAAATTGTTTATCTAACTATGTTTCTGATATTGATGACTCGTGATCTGACTCTGAGAGGAAGTAACCTTCCAACTATTCAGAATTCTCTCATATTGTTTTCCTGAAGCCAAAGACTCTCTGTCTCACTAAACTCTTAGAAGGAATAAAAATACCCCCTGGTCATATATATGACCCCGGGGTATTTTTGTTCCTTCTAAGCAGTGGCATACTAAGGAGGGGGGCAAGGGTGCCACCAGTTAGGGGGGTGCCACCAGGTAGGGGGGTGCCTCCAGGGCTGGCCAGGTTTGTGACTCTGTAAGCTGTGTGGCTGCACAGGGTGCAGGGAGCCACACAGCTCACACACGCAGGGGCTGGGAATTCAGCAGTACAGAAGTACTGCATGGAGAATTGGGGACGGAGCCAACTCGTCTGTGGAGGCGGAGCCTAACAGGGGGCGGAACTACAGCCAGCCTCCATTTGCTGCCTTTCACTGCAGCACACTGAGGGGAAGCAGGAAGGAGTCCCTGCTTCCCCAACTGTAACACACCAGGGACTCACTGACTCCACTCCTCCACCAGTAAGAGAGAGAGAGTGTGAGTGTGTGTGAGACTGCTTGTGACTGTCTTCCTGTGTGTGTGTGAATGTCTGCCTGAGACTATCTGTGACTGTGTGTGTGAATGTCTACCTGTGACTATCTGTGACTGTGTGTGTGAATGTCTACCTGTGACTATCTGTGACTGTGTGTGTGAATGTCTACCTGTGACTATCTGTGACTGTGTGTGTGAATGTCTACCTATGACTATCTGTGACTGTGTGTGTGAATGTCTACCTGTGACTATCTGTGACTGTGTGTGTGAATGTCTACCTGTGACTTTCTGTGACTGTGTGTGTGAATGTATGCCTGTGGCTGTCTATGCCTGTGAATGTCTGCCTTTGACAGTTTACCAGGGACTAAGTGTTACTGTCTTCCTGTGACTGTGTGTGAGAATGACTTTTGGTGACTGTGCATGTAACTGTCTGCCTGTTCCTGTATGTATGAATGTCTGCCTGTGATTGTCTACCTGGGACTGTGTATGACTGTCTACCTGTGACTGTGTGTGACTGTCTGCATGTCACTGAGTGTGTGTGAGTGTGTGCTGCCTGTAACTATGTTACAGTCTGCCTGTAATTGTGTGTGACTGTCTGCCTGGAGCTGTGTGTGTGACTGTCTGTCTGTAACTGTGTGTGTTACTGTCTACGTGCAGCTGTGCGTTTGACAGTGTGCAAGTGACTATGTGTTTGGTACGGTGTGCATGTGGCTGTATTTGACAGTATATGCGTATAACTGTGTACATCTGACTGTATCTGACTGTCTTCACCCTGCAGTGAGTTGGCACATAACATCATCCAAGCATTGGCGTCATATTACAGGATGTGCAAGGGACATGTGCATGAAGAGCACAGAGATCCCAGCAGCAACCACTGACTACTAAGGACTGAGGATCCACTCTAGCCCTCCCAGAGCAAGGTAGGGAGGCTGGGTGGACCTCTTAATTATTAAATGTGTGCATGTATGTGATGTTTGCGTGTGTATATCTAATTATGTGTATTTGTAATTGTATGTGTGTGGGTCTGTGATTGTGTATGTCTGTGTTTATGTGTGTGTGTGTGTGTGTGTGTGTGTATATATATATATATACACACACACACACACACACACACACACAACTACAGAGATACACACACAACCACACACAAACACAGACATACACAATCACAGACCCAATACAAACATGTATTCCTGACCCTATAGTGAAAACCCACCATTTAGGTGGCTTGCCCCCTCCTCTTAACCCCCTCAGAATGGGTTAAACTCACCTTATTTTCTGCTTGCCACTGGTCCGCCAGCGCTGGGCCCCACCCCCTTGGTGACATCATCAGAATTGCGATTTTTAGCCAATCTAATGCTATACCATGGGGAAAGCATTGGATTGGCTAAAATCGGCAAGGGGGTGGGGCCAAACACTGTTTTGGCCAAGCAGCACCTCCTCATAGAGATGCATTGAATCAATGCATCTCTATGAGAAAAATTCAGCTATGCATGGGATTGCTGAACGGCTTACTTTGCAGCACTGAGCCAGTAAGCGCCTCCAGTGGCCATCTGAGGAGTGGCTACTTGGAGGTGTCCCTAGGGGCAATGTAAACACTTCCTTTTCTCTGAAAAGCCAGTGTTTGCATAAAAATGCCTAAAGGCAATGATTGTACTCACCATTAAGCTATAGTTGTTCTGGTGACTATAGTGTCCCTTGAACACATATTTCATACTGTTTGTGATCTGCTGATACTCATGCAAAAAGATATACAATACAATGACTTGTACATCATGTTAATAACATTGTAAATGAATTCCCCAAAATCATTTAATAAAACTCTAGAATCCAATTCCTCATCCAGTCTTTAGCAACCAGCATCTCTAACCGAAAAATCCATTTAGTGTCCACAGCCAATAAAAGTTTGATTTTACTAGCATGACAACCTACCTCATGGCCACCCCATTGATAACCTCAATGCATAAAGTGCCAGGGTTAGAATCGTGGTATCATTGAAAGAGCCGTGATAAAGAGGCATTAAATTATTCTAAAGGAAACTCTGATATTTCCAGAATTGGGGCTTTAGTGTTCTTGAGGTCTGACCAACATACTGGTACCCACACCCACAGTATAAAAACTATATACAAACTCTTGCAAGTAATCTTTGTTTGACCAAATATTTAGGTCAGTCCTTTAGGAAGTAGTGTCTCTAATCTAAAAAAAAATATATATATATATATACAAAATAGCGTGAAGACAGCACTCTCAGGACTCCAAAATATTTAAAGTAAAACTTAACTTTTAATGTCCATAGTTAAGAGATCGACATTTCAGTTTGCAACCCAAACTTTCATCAGGCTGATGAACTATGGACATTAAAAGTTACGTTTTACTTTCAATATTTTGGAGTCCTGAGAGTGCTATCTTCACGCTCTTTTGTACATTTTTTTGCTGACAAGCACCGGGCAACGACACTAGTAAGTTGGAGTGCAATTCTATTTTTTCTGTATATATATATATTGCATACCTTCTTAACACTTACTGTGCCTCTCTTTTCTTAATGTAAAGTGCTAAGCATATACAAATAGTATATAATTACAGTACTTGCTGTAACTGTGTCTACTATAATGTTACCAGTAAAATATATATTTATATAATTTATAACTACTGGACTTAGTATACCTACTTCTACTGTGATATAACTTTTACAAAGCTATGTACACCTGACCTAAACATTAAAAATAAAAAACACTTGTAATTTTAATATCACACTATATAAGTAAAATGGTGCTATATGTAATCTGTAAGACTTCTTAAATCTGGATCCATACACCCTCCTCTGCAAATCAGGTGTTTCATTTCCTTATGATGGGCGTGAATAATCAATAGTTTGTTAATGTGCAACAACCATGGATCAAGAACATCTTAATGTTCATCTCCTCTCAACTCCTGTTATTAATACTCGTATCCTGCGTAGATGGAGAAATGTAAGTAATTCTCAATTATTTCTGTGTTATTTAGAGAAACTAAAATACCCGTAATATATAATGCAATGTATATGACATGCAAAAGGACACATTAAATAGGTACTTATGCAAGTGCAAGCTGGACAGAATGTTCACTATCGAAATGTTCTTTCTCATTTATACGAACAAACTGAAAATGCGGTGTAGAAAAAAATATGGTGTGCGAAATAAATAATTATAATATATATTTATTTTCATTTTTCTTCTTGTTAGGAGGCTCACGAAGATTTTAAAAGACAAATATTGTAATTCTTCTGTTTGTCAGTTAGATATATCTATAGGTATGAGCAAAAGAAAGTAGAAATAGAGCCAAATCAAAGGTACACTTTTAAAGAATGGGGGGTAACCCCAAATATAACATAGCAAGAAGAACAAGTGGTGTACCTGTATGTAATCAATGTAAAATAAAGAACAAAATAGGTACGATAATGAGTATATCAGTCTCAGACAAATATGCTGAGAAGATATACTATTAAGCAAAGTATACCACTGATATATAGTAAAAAAAGAAAATAATAAACAAATTTTATTGACTTAGTATTAAAACCAAAACGTGCTAGTGTACATATGTGAAAAACACAAATAAGTGCTACAATAGATACCCAAAAATAAGTGTGCAAATCAAAAAAAAAAAAAAAAAAGATAAAAAATATATCTACCAGTAGTTAAATCTTAATGTATCAGGACTGGCAAACAATCACCAGGCCACTTAGTAGGTATATATAGCAAAAAATTTTAAGAAAACGCTGGTAAATCTCAGCAATTAATGCAGCTGTACTAAGTGCTAGGGGATTGTACCTAGTATTGTAATAAATTTATGCAAACTTGATAATCAAAAGAATTTTGATAACAATGTATAGATACAGAGCGGAGAGAGCACAGCTCCACAAACAGGCTAATGAAAATCACAGCGAATGTATTAGCAACATTGTAACTGAAGCTTAAAAAGCCTAAGCAGTCCAGTGTTTCATAATAAGCAGCTGCAGCTGATCCGACTGTGTTGAGAGGATCTAATGGTGCACTGTGAGAAAATGGATGTAACACTAGATATAAATTGCTGCTATAGCAAATATTACCTCTGTGATAACATTAGATATAAATGGATGGATTTAACACTAGATATAAATTGCTGCTATAGCAAATAATACCTCTGTGCCTTCGAGGGCACCTAACTGTCATCCAGCTAACACAGAATGAATCGAACATAAGATTAACCGTTTGATTAGCGGCTAAGCTCAATCTAAAAAATAGCTTGTAATAGATACAACTAATAAATAGAATATCATAAAAAACTATGAATCTGAAAATAAGTTATTTAGTATAATATTTGTGCCTTCAGGGGCACCTACCAATAGTCCTGCTAGACACAGAGGAAAAGAGATAAGTACATAAAGGAAAGAGAAGGAGACCGTTTCAATGACGGTAAAGCTATAGTAGGAATAATGATGAAAGTATCTATAAAAGGTTTGATGAATCCTGTACTGTGCTCCCCCTTATCTGAAACTAGAACTGTGCTGTAAACTGTGCCTTCGAGGGCACCTGTCACTAATCCCACTGGTGTAGATACAGAGTAGAAATACGAAGAAATAATGTCTACATCACTAATAGAATTCTCTAGTAGAGTGTGCAAAAAAATTGATGCGCACACTCAAAAAGCTTATCAATATTAAGATAAGTTAAAAGTGATGAGAAGATAGCATGGTTACAAGTCGAAATACTTCACCCCCGATCATAGGGGAAGTACTATTGAAACGCCCTTACACGCGCGTTTCGCCCGACCTGGCTCGTCAGAGGGGAACCGGTCGGTACACTGCGTCTGGTTTAAATCTGTGAAGAAATATTTCTATTGGTTGACAGAGATGATTCCTGATTGGTTAGTGCTCGTTAATTAAGTTATGACGAAATCAAACTTGTATCAAGAGGAGTCAGTAGAATGAGTTGATTAACCCTTTCTCTACTGGATTTCTCAGTTGAATTTAGCCAACAATGATAATTAAAGAGGAAGGAACATTATTCAAGTAAATTAAATAAATGTTGTGAATAGAGTAAGGTTGCCCTAAATATTGCTAATTATAATTGGAAAATAAAATGTTAGGGGAAAAGGAAACAATAAAAAACTAAACTAAATAAATAATGCAGCAAATGAATGATAAATGATAAATTCAAACCTTATCCCAAATTGATTAACCCTTTCTCTACTGGATTTCTCAGTTGAATTTAGCCAACAATAATGATTAAAGAGGAAGGAACATTTTTCAAATAAATAAATGTTGTGAATAGAGTAAGGTTGCCCTAAATATTGCTAATTATGAATTTATAATTTATATAAATTACAACCTTATCCCAAATAAAAATATAGATATAATGAATAACCTCAGAATATGTTTAACTAATGTAAATGAAAAGAAAATCAAAGAGACAAATAATTAGACAGTATATTACTCTATAATTGTAAAAAATTGAACTATCTATCATTATGAGTAAGCAAGTAATAACTTAATACCTGAGAATAGATGAACATGAAAATTAGCCTAGAGAAAGGTATTAAATTCTTATAATGTATTTATATAAGTAGAGGCAGCCAAATTAAAAGACATTAGTGTTATGGAGATACTATTCGTAAATGGTGAATAAATCCTAAACTTGTCCAGAAAAGGGTAAGTTCAGAGTTAGCCAAGTTGTTTATTGGTGTATAAAGGGGGTAAAATTGAACTCTTCGTTTAAACCGTCAGGTGCTAATGTTTTTAAAAAATAAATCCATCTAGACTCCTTCATTAGGAGAATTTTATTAAAATTCCCTTTCCTGGTGTTTAAGGTTAATTTCTCCAATGCTTGGAATGTAAGGTGTGTTGGGTCAGCCTGGTGGTAGTTCCGAACATGGTTTGATACTGGAGTGGAGATGTTTAGGTTGGTGATGGAACAGATGTGCTGTAGTATCCTTCGTTTTAATTGCTGGTAGGTTTTGCCTACATATTGGATACCACAGCTTCATGTGATTAGATAAATGACCCGGGTAGAACTACAGTTAATAAATTCCTTAATTTTATATTCTTTTTTTGTTATGGAACTTGTTACCGTTTTAGTGGGTTTAATGAATTGGCATGCCTTACAATGTCCACAGCGATAAATACCC